ACTGCTCCAGTCGGTTCCTAAACCCTGGCTTAAGAAACAATCATAACAGTTGACGTTCTAATTTTACATCTATGAAGAGACCAATCAGCTAATCTGCAGATCAAGGCTAAAAACATCAACAATAGAACCAAAGGAAGGATTGGGTTTTTAGCAGAACTCTCCTCACAGATCTCCTGCTCCTCACAGATGTCCTGCCCTGGTGCTGGCAGAGTATTCGTTGTGTAATCTCCAGCCTTCGCTGAAGTCTGAACGTGTGTCTTGGATGCATGGCTGTGTCTTAGCCGTGGGGGTGTGTGCTGTTTGACTGATTGAGGTTGACTGGCTCTGCGGCTGAGTTACACAATTTTATTTATGACTGTGCAGGAGCCCCATGGGGACAGAAGGCTCCCGACCCTATCAGAGCCCAGGGTGGAGTGATTTAGTTTGACACGGGGGGTGGGGTGGGGTGGAGCTAGGCTTCAATGTTTGGTAGTTTTGGTGTTAATCCTCTACTAGCTACTGACCGTATCAGTTTGTCTCCTCTCACATCTTCGTAATCCAATCTACACTGAACACTAGGGACGGTACACTCAAGTTACGATAAGATATGATTCACAATGTTTTGTTCACGATACGATTTCATCATGATTTTTAAAAAAACAGATAATGACCAAATACACTGATCTCTTATCTGTAGAAACTATGCAACAACAACATTGATAATAATACCATTATCAATGTTGGTAATACCAGAAATGGCCTTGTGTGCTTCATGAACTGAAAGTGTTCTCTTAAATAACATAAATAACAGGATGCAAAAAAATTCAAATTTTCACAAAATTTTCACAAAAACATCATGCGTTTCCTCCTCTTAAAAGGAAAACTGGTCTTATTTACATTACTAACTGTCAACATCATAAAAATCTAAAAAAAAAAACAGTAACACTGTAAAACACTGTTGGTGACCTTTAAAGATCTTTCCGCGTTCGGTTCAACCACCTGACTGTTACTTAGGCTACGTAGGGACCTGACGTCTTGGTTTAATAACGCATCACAATCAACGTTTTTAGGTGCATACTGCCACCTATTGTACTGGAGTGTGTACTCTCATGGTATGACCAGTGACTTTTTGAGATAACGCAGCCTACTCCTTTACGCCTTAAACCGCTGGTAATTGTCTCGAATATTTTGACGATTTTTAACTGACTCACGACGCATCGATACATCCCTACTAGACCCAAACTGTGAAACAGCCGTGTTACACTAATGTCTTAGCACTGTGGTACGTTCTTAAATAGGCCAGAATGCATTGGACTAGCTTTATGCGATCTAAGGGTTTAGCCTCCTACAACCCTACAGCTTAAAACAAAAAAAACAAAAAAAAAAAACACTGTCAACATTTTCAGACCCACTTGCGCAGATGCTCGTCACGCTCTACCAGCTACACCTGCCGGGGTTTGTGCGTCTCATGAGTCAGGTGCCTCCGAGGACCTCAGTCCTGGACGAGCTAATTTAAAAACAAACAGATGGTAGAACAGGAGAAAAAAGATGAATATTCAGGACCGTATCTGTGAACGTCAGTCTGTATCAGTCGGTCAATGGATTGGTTTGAGAGAAACTTAAGAGAAAAAGGGCAGATGTCGTAACCTTCAATCACTATCTACCTGCACCGCAATGTTGATCCACCAGGATCACCCATTGGGACACTGCGGTTGTAAACCAAGTTTTAAAAGAGCTGATAACATTCGTGGACCCTGCGTTTGATAACAGGCAAAGGTTGGACGAGTCCTGTTGATCTGTCAAGCCCTGCTCTTGAAATTAAAAACTCAAATTATAGACATTATCGGTCGTTTCCATACCAACAGTTCTAGTTTGTTGACAGTTACAGGAGATACCGTACGAGTGAACGGAGGTCCTGAGGCAGTGTGACGGCCGAACAACGAGAAGAACTTTACGCCAATCAAGACGGAAAATTTCTAACTGCATTACTTTAAAACACACACACACACACGCTGGTCTCTTATCACTCCTCCTCCGTGCCCCCAACTGCGGTCGGTGTTTATCATTAGCTGTAGTCCTGTCTGATCTCAGAACATGCAGTACTTTTCTCATGTTTTCCATGCAAGTGCTGGATTAAAGTCCACTGCATGTACCCAGTGTGTCAGAAATGTACACACACACACACACAGACAAAACCACAAGAATAGCTCCATCACACACGCAGTAAAGATAGAGAGAGCAAATATATTCAGTGCCATGGCTGCAGCTTGTTGACAGTGGACACTCAGTCCCTCAGTCCCGAGTACACGAGTGTACTCTTAGCAACATGACAAGGTTGCACATCACATGTACTGGTCACGTTTAAAAAAAAACATCATAGCTATTGTTGCTATTTTTTTTTGCGTTTGGACCGAGTTCATAAACTCCAAAGTACCGCGCTCTTCTCCTACAATGTTCGAAGACTAACTGTGGGACGCCTCTCACGATAAAACAAAGCGACAGACGATGACGATGATGTTAGAGTAGATGACGCTGGACATGTCACTCAAACACATGGTGGCCATAAGACGCCTACTGAGTTGTCAGGTAGACCTGTCCCATATGGGCTAGCGGTTAGGATTCCTGGTTTTCACCCAGGTGGCGGATCTTTCCGTAATTTCCCTTTGGGATCAATAACGTGTCCAGCTATCTCTATGTGGTAGAAATTTGCACTGATGGTCAAGATTTTGACCTTTTACTGCCCAGTTAGGACGTGGTGTGTGTTTCTTCGGTGGGCACCTCATGTTCTTGCGTTCTTGAACAGGTAACCTCAGGGCGTTGGCGAGGTGAAATGCACGTCCCAGCACGTCTAACCCAAAACAGTTTCATCATTGCGTTGCAAAACAACTTAAATATAGGACAAGTGGGACTGAAACTGAGCCACACACAGTCGGTCTGTTGATGTCTGAAGAAAAACGTCGATCAAATGTCGTCTAAATCACAGCAAAAATGTGACGTCTGCTTTCAAACTAAGTCTAAGATGCTGGAGACACAGAGATCAGTCTGAACTGGTTTTAATCATTAACCCCTGTCTGAGGACTTTCTGACTGAGCCTGGTATAAGGCCCTCCTGGTCTAGATGCTGATGTGTCTCTGGATGAGACCGCTGCCTCCGAGGTTGTATGGTGTTGTGTCAGGAGCATGTTCTCTGTGGTTTCTTGATCTGGATCAGTGTTGTCTAAGTACAGACCTCAGAGCAGTGATTAAAGGAACCATGTCTTTATGTAGTACAAAACCAGGCGACGCACAGAAGCATTTCAGAACGTTGTCATCAACAACAACAGACAGTCTGTGAAGGACCTGTCTTCTCTGCACCACATACAGTAGGTGTGAGTACTGACTTAAGCCGAGCCTCAGTCGTGTTCTTCATCTTAGTCATGGACTGGATGAACCTGGTAAACTGGACTGGTTTAGAAGGACTAGAATCAGTTTTAATTCCATCCACTTATCGTTTTTAAGAAAACACTTCACAGTCAAGGATCCTCTTATGAAAAACTAAACCGGAGGTTCTGAGGGGCTAAATGACAATGATGACACAGACAAAAAAATGATCACACAATTCAACAAACAAAACCGACAAAAAATTGAACGGGGTTAAAGTCATACCCGGACTGTTTTTGTCAAGTAAACAGGAAGGACAAATAAGGATGGAAGCCAATTGAGGTAACCGAGAGATAAGTCACGAAACAGTTTGACTTACTCAGTCGGTGACTTCCTGGTCGGTGACTTCCTGCTCATTGACTTTCTGTTCATTAACTTCCACATAGTGACTTGTTAGCAACTTCCTACTTATTCACATCCTACTCTTTGATTTCCTGCCTAGTGACTTCCTGCTCAGTGACCTCCTAGTCAGAAATACCTGCCCAGTGACTTCCTGGTCATGAACTACCTGCCCAGTGACTTCCTGGTCATGAACTTCCTGTCCATTGACTTCCTGGTCAGAAACTTCCTGGTCAGAAACTTCCTGTACAGTGAATTCCTGGTTAGAAACTTCCTGCCAAGTCAATTCCTGGTCAGAAATCTCCTGCCCAGTGACTTCCTGGTCAAAAACTTCCTGTCCAATAAATTCCTGTTTAGAAACTTCCTGCCCAGTGACTTCCTGGTCAGAAACTTCCTGGTCACAAACTTCCTGTACAATGAATTACTGGTTAGAAACATCCTGCACAGTGACTTCCTGGTCAGAAACTACTTGCCCAGTGACTTCCTGGTTGGTGACTTCCTGCTCATTGAATTTCTGTAGTGACTTCCTGGTCACAAACTTCCTGCCCAGTGACTTCCTGGTCAGAAACTACCTGCCCAGTGACTTCCTGGTCAGAAACTTCCTGCCCAGTGACTTCCTGATCAGAAATTCCTTGGTCAGAAACACCTTCCTGCTCATTGACATCCTACTCTTTGATTTCCTGCCTAATGACTTCCTGCTCAGTGACCTCCTGGTCATAAACTTCCTGTCCAGTGAATTCCTGGTTAGAAACTTCCTGCTCAGTGACTTCCTGGTCAGAAACTTCTTGGTCAGAAACTACCTGCCCAGTGACTTCCTGGTCAGAAACTTCCTGCCCAGTGACTTCCTGGTCAGAAACTTCCCGTCCATTGACTTTCTGATCAGAAACCTCCTGCCCAATGACTTGCTAGTCAGAAACTTCCTGCCCAGTGACTTCCTGGTCAGAAACTACCTGCCCAGTGACTTCCTGGTCATAAACCTCCTGCCCAGTGACTTCCTGATCAGAAATTCCTTGGTCAGAAACTACTTGCCCAGTGACCTCCTGGTCATAAACTTCCTGTCCAGTGAATTCCTGGTTAGAAACTTCCTGCTCAGTGACTTCCTGGTCAGAAACTTCTTGGTCAGAAACTACCTGCCCAGTGACTTCCTGGTCAGAAACTTCCTGCCCAGTGACTTCCTAGTCAGAAACTTCCTGCCCAGTGACTTCCTGGTCATAAACTTCCTGCCAAGTCAATTCCTGGTCAGAAACTTCTTGCCCAGTGACTTCCTGGTCAGAAACTTCCTGTCCAGTGACTTCCCGGTCAGAAACTTGCCCAGTGACTTCCTGGTCATAAACTTCCTGCCAAGTCAATTCCTGGTCAGAAACTTCATGCCCAGTGACTTCCTGGTCAGAAACTACTTGCCCAGTGACTTCCTGTCATTAACTTCCTGCCAAGTGAATTCCTGGTCATTAAGATTCTCTAGTCTTTGGTAAATGCATTAGTTTGTCTTTCTTTGCCTGAGGTGAACCATGAGATGGTGGAAGCAGTCGCTGCAGTAACCGGGGCTTCAGACTGGAATCTCAGCTGACAAAGATAAGTGGGGTTACAGTCGTCTCATGAGTGGGGCCAACACAGAGCCCACCCACATAGACTGGTGCTGTGTATGGCGTCTGCTGCTTTACAGTGACTCCCACAACACTGTTCCCACAAAACAAAAACAACTCCTTATCAGAGCCCATCAAGACCAGCGCTAGATTTATGCAGGTGTATGTCAGAGGGGAAGAGGAGGGGGCAACTTTCCTTAAGCAAAGTTTCTGTTCGTCGGAAATATATCGAATATTTGCTAGGGCCGAATATATGCTAGGGCCGAAGAATCCGGCCCTAGCATGCTGAGCAGTTTGTCGACACGTGAGAACCTCTGTCCCTCGGAAGAGACGTCTTCACTCAGATGTCAGAACCTGTTGAACAACCTGAGTGTTGAGGTGTGGCCTCGGGCAAGAGGCAGCGTTTGTCAGGATCTGTCCTGACTGTTGTTTCCTGGCTGCTGACTGTGACTACGTTAATCTCTCAAAAGTATCTCGCTGCGTGTCACTGCTGTCGGAGCCACACGTTAGCTAACGTTCAATGGTTGAATATTTCCCACTTTTCCTATTACCCCAACGGTTTTGATTTCTGTCCATGACCTGTGGCTGTTGGAGTGTATGTGTGTGTATGTGACTCTACAGGCAGAGTGATAAGGTTACACAGATGGGTGTGTTTGTGTCTCTGCTCTGTGGAACTTGAACTCACTCTTCTGTCAGTAAACAGTTCCACAGAACTATCAGCTGACAATGAAAAGACCAGTGATCAACCCTCCAGGGCTGGTGGTCTACTTTCCCCAGGTGTCCACCTGGTGCCTCTGTTTGAGAGGACAGTGCTACTAGTCAACGAGACAGGAAACAGAAATAATAATAAAAAATCATTTGATCTTTATCGATCCCACACTTGGGAAATGATTGTGTTAACAGCAGATCTGCTGCAATGGGCTGCCCCTTGGGGGCGCCAAGTATTACTATTCTCACCTGGGTTCAGTTTATGGTTTTAACTGTTGTCCCTGGAACTTTATTCTGTCTGTTCAGAGACTCTAGAAGTGACAAAGGAGAAAGGGAGCCTATCCTTTCATCCAACCATCTAACAATCCATCTATCCATCCACTTATCCAACAACCCATCCATTTATTCATCCAACAATCCACCCATCCATTTATCTAACAATCCATCCACCCATCCAACAATCTATCCACCCATCTACTCATCCAACAATCCATCCATCCAACAATCCATCCATCCATCCACTCATCCATTCACTTATCCAACAATCCATCCACACATCCAACAATCCATCCATCCACAGATCCATCTACTTATCCAACAATCCACCCATCTACTCATCCAACAATCCATCCATCCACTCATCCAAAAATCCATCCATCTACTCATCCATTCACTTATCCAACAATCCAACCTTCCAGTCATCCAGCAATCTACCCATCCATCTTCTTAACCACCCTTCCATCCACCACTTAAGCTTCCAGGACACTGGGGGACAAGGCATGATAGTCATTTCCTTCGGCTGTCCCAGTTAGAGCTGGGGTCTAACTAACTAAAGACTTCAGGTGAGAGCAAGGTTACAGCCTGAGAAGATCTCCACTCCATCGTAGAGTAAAACAGCTATTCACACCTTCATACACAGACAGGGAGAAGCCTCCAGTATGATCATAAGATTAAAAAGTCACTTTGTTCTGGTGCATTAACATAAAAACATATGCTCTTAATTAAGGCTTCTTTGCGGTTCATTCACTGCCTTGATTGTCATTTTCAGAGGCTGTCAAACAGCCGATGAGCCACTTAGAACAAGTCATTTACACCATTAATGGAGGCTAAAAAGTGTGCGTACGTTGTAGGCAACAGGTCTGTATGCGTGTGTGTGTGTGATTGTTGTGGTGCCGTGTTTGGTCATATGTGGTCCCACACCACAGTGGAAACTGTGTGTGAGCAGTGTGAGAAGCTTTTCAATAGATTCAATGGATCACACTGACTGCTGCTGTCTCACAGTGAATGGCTGCATTGACAGAACGTCCTGGAGGTTGGACTTGGCAAAGTGGACGAACACACACAAAGACACGCGTGGACACACACACAGTGACACCAGAGTGCACTCTGTGTGTACAAGGAATTAACAGGGACATACAGAATACAGAATGTAGATATGGTTAGTATATAGTTAGAATGCAATGGAATTAAATCATTATGTTATGGTTTCATTAGTATATATTAACTGTGCGTTGGTATTTAATTTAAATTAAATAAATTAATATTATTTACTATTTTACTTCATGTTACTTCATTTTTGACACAGGATTTCAAAATAAACAAAGGAAGGACAATGAAGGAGAGGAGCGAGCACGCACGCACACACACACAAACACACTGCACTTCACCAAGCTCCTCCTCTGTTGCCAGGTTACTGTTGTCACTTACGATACAGCCACATCAGCCTATCACATCGGCTTGCGTCAATTTTCAAGGCGGAGCTTCACTGTGCTCCACCGTGGAAGGAAGTGACTCAGTGACATCACTTCCTGTTGTTTTTTTTGTCATCACTAACCTATTTCACTCACCTCTCTCTCTCTATCTCTCTCACACACACATGCAAACACACACTACATGAGTGGGAGGGTGTTGTTATTAATTTGACCGTTTTGCTTATTTTTTTTACATTATCGTCTAATATCACTACGGTGTGTAAATGTCTGTGAAACGAAATTATTTCCAGAATTTAATAGCACTCAATCTTTTATTTTTGTAATTCTGTTTTTAAGGATGTTGAAGCAAAAGTGTTAACATCGTTTATTTTCATTATTTTTTTAAAAAACTTTTTTTTTCTCATGCGATTACGTCAGTAAGGAGAACTGACCTGAATATGGCCTTTGAACAAAAAACTTTTTTTTCTCATGCAATTACGTCAGTAAGAACTGACCTGAATATGGCCTTTGAACGCCTCTTGTACTGCCTAAAGAAATGAGTGAATGTTTCTGTGGGATGATGGTTGTGATTCTGCTGCCCTCTTGTGGTGAACATTTGAAACGGCCTAGACTTACAATGAAAATAATCCGTATAATTAGTCATACTAAATATTTTTATGATTATTTATTTATTCATCTTACATGTACTGTGAGAAGTCGGAAAGTTAGCAAATATAAAACTAACCAGAAAAATGAAATGTTTTTTTTTGTCTGTTCTTTGTCGCCCTGCCCCCACCCTCCCTGAGTTCTCCTGACCCCCCCACCACTGGCTCTTGGTGGGCTCAAAGGTCAAGTAGGTCCTGATTTCTTTAACGGCATGCATTATCTTGACGCTGCCTGACTTGTCTCATGTCTGCATGTTACCGTAAACATGTATTCACGTACAGCAGTGTGAATACATGTTAGCGTAAACATGTATTCACGTGCAGCAGTGTGAATACATGTTAGCGTAAACATGTATTCACGTGCAGCAGTGTGAATACATGTTAGCGTAAACATGTATTCACGTACAGCAGTGTGAATACATGTTAGCGTAAACATGTATTCACGTACAGCAGTGTGAATACATGTTAGCGTAAACATGTATTCACGTGCAGCAGTGTGGCTCAACAGTTGACACACGTGCTGTGAATGTGCTGCAGATCAGCATGAAGAAGCATTTGCATGGACGCTGCTAATAGTCAACTCTTAGCTTTTGTTACAAGGACCTCATCTCCGCTTTATCACCTGCTTATTTTGGGTTTGCAGTAAAAAAATAATGTACCTAAAACATAGTAACTGCCATACTAACTAATACAGACAACGACTCTGTGACTTACTTTCTGCCTCTGTATTTTGTCTCCCTCTGCAGGTGTGGCTGGAGGAGAAGGAGGGTGAGGACGGTGACCTGAGGAACTCCTCTGTTTTCTGTATGCAGGCGGAACACGCCGGGACCAGGACATACTTCTTCAGCACAGACCGCCATGACGAGCAGGAGGAGTGGATCGCAGCCATGAGTGAGGCTGCACAGGTGGAACTTCTGCCAACACACAGGTGAGAACATATGGATGACCCTCATATATCTCTGATTTATTTACCGTTCAGTTTACTAAGATTGACTTATTATCAGTGACTTGAATATATAGATAACTGTGCTTCTGGTTTAGAGGCTTGTTTAGAAAGTTTCTGTTTGTCATGTCTACTGAGAAATGAGATTGATCCTTGCAGTCGTGGCTTCTATAAACAATAACATTTTCCTCTCCATATCTGAGGTCTTTATAATAAAATGGCCAAATCATGTTGTTGTTGGTTTGTTTTTTGAACTTTTGAACCGTTTTCCATGAATATTTGGAGTCCATCTATCTGTTTAATTCAGGTTTATTAAAAATAAGAGGTCAAAAAAAAATCAGTCTCTAAATGATTTTACATGTTGTGCATACTAAAGTCATTGAAACACTAGAGGTCTCTGTATCTGGTTTTACCGTTTTTCCCAAAGTTAAATCTCAGATTAGGGAACATTTTCCCCCAGTGCTGATTCTTGACCAAACTGTGGACAATAACTTTTGATTTTTCTCCATTCTCACTCTTTAGAACCAACTCCTCGGACACTACGGTTTTTTGAATTTTCTCCGTTCTTAGAACCAACTCCTCGGACACTACGGTGGAGTCAAACCAAACCATGGTGACCAAACCATCAGACTCGGAGAAGAGTTCAACCGCCCAGACGCACAGTGAAACTGAAAACAACTTGTCCACACATTCAAAGACTAATGGAGCGGACAGTCTAGAGACGCCTACGCCTTCTACGCCCTCTTCTGACCTGCAGGGCAAAAACAGTGAGAGAAGGCGAGGGGAAGGTGGAGGGAAAGGTGAAGACGAAGGAGGTGGAACCGCTCCTGGTCATGGTTCTCACGCAAATCATCATCCAAACGGGTGGGGCAACCACATCCCTTCCAACAATGCACCACACATCAGCAACAACAAGCAACATCTACCGCACAGGGGTCAAGGCGCAGCTCGAGGAACACCGGGGCACCCGGAGGGTGAGAGGAGGAGGGAGCAGCAGGAGAATGTGGTTCTGAGGAGAGGCCCTGGAAACAGGATAGTTCCAGAGAAGGTGGCCCAGAGGAAGAGCTCCATGTTCCAGCTACAGCAGTGGGTCAATGAGAGGAGGGGCGTGGCTTCACAGGAGGACATCAACAGGTGGGGCGGGGGAGTGGAGAGGGACACGAGGCAGAGGCCGGCTGGTTCTGTTTGAAACTGGTTCTTAAAAATAGGGAATGCATTGGGAGCAATATTTGGAGTGATCATTTGGGCCATAGCATTAGCGGACCACATTACCATTATATTTATATTATAATAACACAAAATAAATATTTTCACTGACTATTAGTAGGTTACTGAAACTATTACAAAATGCTTCCTTTAAACTGCACGTCAGACACCTCAACTCCATGTCAAAGACCTTAAACGACACTTTTCTGATACTCAACTCTTTCTCTACATTTCTCTGTCACTTCAGTCCATCTCGATACTACACAGTAAACAGAGGCATCTCTGCTGACTACTGTCCCTACCCTGGTGGCCCCCCGTATATGGATGAGTACCCGCTGTACGCACCAGGGGGGAGACCTGAAAGCATCTGCACCATCTCTGCTGTGGGGGGCTACGACCAACGCTGGGCTATGGAGGAGAAGCGCCATTCCCTGAGGGATGGACCCCCCCACCTGTATGGACCCCCGATGCCCAGGGACTCGTGGGGGCCACAGTACTATGGTGGAATGGAAGCATCCATGCGGCGTCTTTCCATCCAGCCCCGCTCCAGGTCTGTGCCCAGGTCGCCTTCCTCATCATCGGGGGGGCCCTACTCACCGGTGCCCCCTGGCTTTATGTCCCCGGCTCGGTCGCTGTCAGCGCGCTTCGATCGTTATCAGGGGCGGATGCGGGAGGATGTTATCTATGCTGATCCATCCATCTACAGCATGAGGAGGTCCCTCAGCTCACCCAAGGTAAGGGGACGACACTTTTTGATGCTAATCGGACACGAATGCTAATTAACCCCGCATTGTCACTCTGACCCAACATTAGATCTCAATGATTATTTTTCATTGTTGTATGTTTTAGTAAACAATACTAGGGATGTCCGATAATACTGGCCAACCGATATTAGCATAATTATGTAATATCTCTTAATATAGTTATCTGTTTTTCCTCTGATAATGAAAATCGGATAACGCCATGCCTGGGTTTTGCGATATGATGACTGCTATACAAATGGTTTAATGTCCCTCCCATAACTGTTAACTCATTAACTCTCAGTTACTTCATAACACAAGAACACATAACATTATGAACGATAAACAAGTCTCCAGTCACTAGATGGCAGCATTGTAGCTCATTTTATTACTCTATTTTGATAATCAGGGGATTGTATGCAGAATGTTGGTGCCAGCAACTCATACAGTGGCTTTTATGAATAAATAAGTAAATATTACCAGGCACTCAATAGTATTTCAATTTAGGGCGAGGGCCACCAAGTGTTTGGACAATATCGACATATCAGATTTTGGCAAATAGTCAAAATCAGACATCCCTAAATAAGACTTGTTGGTCCTACATTCCAGAACATGTCAGTATTCAGTAATTGGTTTGACTGAAGTGAGACTAAATATTTAAAACAAGATTGATTGACAGACAGAGGACCCAGGAAGTGTGTCACCACTAGGGGGACGTTGATAGCGTAAATGTCACCACGCAGATACCCGATTCTTCTTACACATTATTATTAATATTTTTCCTAATTTGTACTGCATGTTTGTACCATCTCCCAACCTTACATAACACAACACGAGGTCAAGCATGTGTTCTAAATATCCTTGCATAGATCCTGGATAGTTTTTACCCTCATGCGCATGTTCACGTAAAACAGTACCAGCCCTGTCAGTCGCCTTCCTTCACCCTAATAACTTTAATTCCTCTTTTATCTCCACCCCTCCCTCCTTTTCTGTCCTAATCCCGTCCATGACCTTTCCTCCCTCCTGTAGTATGATTACCCTGGGGATAGGAGGTCCCTAAGCCAAGGATTATACCACCATAACTACCCCGTTTCCCCCTCCATCCACAGTAAAATGGTACGTGCCTCACAGGAGCTCTAGTACACACACACACACACACAAAACATACACATAGTGTCGTGGTATATGTGTAGCTTCACTGTTGTGTGTCCTCTGTCCTACGTCCTCCGTCCTGCGTCCATCCACTCTAACCCTCTGTATCTTGACTCTTTGTTGTAACACTGTCAAAGATGCTTCAACAAAATGTTGAGGACAGTCTGAGAATACTTATGTACAAGTAGTATTTTTGTTTACTGTTATTTTAATTAGATAATTCGGAAAAAGTCAGGCCTGGTGAAAGACCTCTGTAGGTACTGTAGGACAGCAAACGGTACTGTAGGACAGCAAACGGTACTGTTGGACAGTGAACAGTACCGTCGGACTGTAGTTGTATTAGCAGATTAGCAACAGTGCTTTGCCCTTCTTTGCTGCTGTCCCGTCTGAAAATATTCTGTCCATGTGTGTGTGTTGTCTTTGTCTTTTTGTGTCTCTGTTATCTGTTGTCTGTTTAATGTGTGTGTGTGTGTGTGTGCGTTTGTGTCTCTGTTATGTCTGTTTGACGTGTGTGTGTGTGTGTGTGCTGCTGTGGCTGCTGCTTGGCTAAGGAGGACATATTAGACCTTCAACTCCAACGCAATCTGGATTATCTAGACCAACAGGTACACACACATACACACAAATACACACACGCACACGTGTCTCATCTATGTCACGTCCACTGTCCTACTGTTTCCTTTCACCTCGTCTGTTTGTCCTGGTCTTACAGCTAACCCCTAGATCTCCTGGTCCGTATCTAAACTACTTCTCACTACTTCTTCTTCTTCTTCTTTTTCTTGACTTCTCACACATTTCCAATGTTGTTTGAAACATGCAGTTTACATCAGGTTGTTGTCTGGTGTCTATAACCTGAGCTGAATCTTCAGGTACTGGGCAGAAGCCACCTAGACGGTATGGTCAGCCGCATGGTGAAGCGTTCATCCTCATCAGCAAAGCTGTGTGTCCAAGTAAGAGAGCAGCAGGGAGGCAGGGAGGGAGGCAGGGAGGCAGGCTTCACAGCTGCTCTACTCTAGGGTCAATGTAAAACCCCATGAGGCCTGGAAGACCTGCCTCTCTCTAGTCCCGGTGTTGCATGAGCGCCCTACTGTCACAGAACTATTATTTACATATTTTGTGGACAGTAGATCATGTGTCTGTGAGGGTCCATGGAGGTTCAAATGACAAATGACACCTCGACATATTGTACCTTTACTACAGCACGGCACACTCTAACGCAGGGGTGTCAAACTCATTTTCACCGGGGGCCACATCAGCAATACAGTTCCACTTGAAGGGCCGGTTGTAACTGGAAGACTGTATAGATTAGGGGTCCCCAACGCCCAGTCCGCGGACCAGTACCGGTCCATTGGTCATTTGGTACCAGGCTGCAGTGGGACATAGTTAAAAAAATGTGCTTATTTTACTTCATTCAATTTCATTCAAATTTACTTAAAGATAATCCATTAAGAAAAGATGTAATACAAAAACTTTTAATTTCTCAGGTTAAGCTCCCGCGGGCGACACAAAATGGCTTAGTGGGCCGCATTTGGCCCCCGGACCTTGAGTTTGACACATATGCTCTAACGTATACATATTAGTAAAGTGTACGGCACAGATAGACTCAGTACTGCATCACGTTTGATCATGATATACAGCCTCTTGACAAGGGTTGTGGTTGCTTAAGGTGCCACCTTCTGGAGAACTGGATAGAAATAACAATTCATGCAAAATGAAGAAAAAGAAAAAAAAAAGGAAACTTTTTTTTATCAGCCCCCACCACCCCCACAGACCAACCCCCCTTTACAAAAACCCTAATTATGAGCCAAAACTGCACTGTAAATTTTGTTTTGCTTTGTTTTTAGCACTGTTTGAACAGTCTGTACTTTTCAAAGTTTTATTTCTGTTATTATTTTATTGCTCTTCCTGTATATAACGTGTTATTGCGTGTTGGTTCAGTGTGCCTGCTGTGTGTGGTGTGTGTGGTGTGTGTATACTGACGGTACTGGTACCAAAATGGTTAGAACTGTCTGTGTGTACATACAGTGAATGTTCTAGTGATGACTCTACAGAGCTGTGCAAGAACAAATTGTTTTGTTTTTTGGAGGGGCCGGGGCTGGGGAGGGGGTTGTTTTGTGAACAGCTTCAGTTAGAACCAAATTCAAGGCACTTTACGTGGTAAAGATGTCGGGATTGGTTCCAGGAGTCACGGTTACATTTATGTTTCTTACTGTGTTCTGTGTAAACGTCTGTGGAAAGATTTTAATTGTTTAGAAGTAGAAGACGGAAGAGGTAAAAATGAGAGAACCTTTGGTTTCTCCCCTGCTTTCTGTCATTTCACACACCATATAGGGTTGGGTGACCTCGTGTACCGTTGAGTTTCGGTGACCGTCAACCTCACTGAAATCCATCCTGGGGCTCTCAGAACTTAAAAGGCACAACAACAACCATGCACCTTTTATTTAAATTTGTAACCCGAAATCTCTGTTACTTTGTTACTGATGATTTAAAGAGGAAGACTGAGAGAGAAAACATCACCTACGAGACTGACTGGGACTGAACCAAGGGATACTTTTGGATGACTGTTGCATGTTGTAACTCTCAATCAAATTTTAACCAAAAAAAAAAAAATTCAGAGAATGAGAGTAATACTGGTTGGTTAAGAAGATAAATGAGTATATTTCAGATTTTAAAATGAAGCTGAATCTTGGATAATTTCAGACGTGTTATCACCCAACCCTACATGTTGTATCTCACTGTACACACACACTCACTGATGTCATGACTTTTTCTTCTCTCTGTGTTACAGGTGCCTCCGTTCCATGATGTGTACAGTAGAGAGTTACATCCAACACTCAAATTGAATGAGATTGAAACCAGTGTAAGGCTCTTAACACCGCACGAACATTACAAACACATATGGTTGACTTATACGAGCATCACGGCGTACAGGGTATGCCACATTATCTCAGACATCCACTGGTCAAACCATGTGACTACACGCTCTAGTACAGCAGGTAGCGATATGCGCCTAAAGACGTTGGGTGTGAATCTATTAAACCAAGAAGTCTAGTCCCTACCTATCCTGAGTGACATTCAGGTGTTCAAACAGAATGTAGGAAGAACTTCTTCCACAGACACAAACAGTGTAAAATGGAGAGGTCACATTTGGTTGTGTGCTGTGTCATGGTACCATGATACCATGGTACCATGTCGTTTGCGCGCACATTGGGGCTAACTTAAAAAAACCTTTGCGTACTCACTGATCAATGAAAATATGGACGTACGCCACCCCAAGCCTTCCGTTTCGTGGGAACAGCAAGAGGAAATGGGGAAACCAATCCCGTAGAAAGATCCGCGAGTAACAACAACAACAACGAGTTGACGTGTGGGCTTCGAGGCACAGTAGACTAAATATTTACACCAACAATAACGAAATACTAGCACTACACTTGGACAAAATCCATATCATTACCAATTCACACAGCGTTCATATTCAGTCAGTAACGTGGTGCAAAAGACTTTGCCCATGCACGTATAAGGTTCTTCTTCCAACTAACGACGGCTACGCTAAAGACAACTAGCTCTTGAAAAGGACCCTTGTGGTTTTCTCTCGTCTGTCTTCTTCCTCCTCTTCTTTATCCCACCCCCTTTCGCTCTAAATCCTATGGGTGGTTCAGTTTTACTTTTAATAGGAAGAGCAAATAGAAGGTGATGTGGAGTGTTTCTCTTAAGAAACGTGCATTGATGTATTCTGTAATTTAAGATTTCAGTTTATGAGGTACACAAGACCATAAGACACAAGACCTCAGAAGGTCAGAATTTGTCAAAACTGAAAAAAAAAAATTGTGAACAAAAATGTACACTGACAAAAGTAGAATCCTTCATTTTTCTCCTCAGTCCAACTATTCTTTTTCTTAATTCTTTAACTTTTCAACATTTTTTGGTAAAAAAAAAAAAGTGCTCTCCACTTAATCGATATTTTGTTGTTTGTTCCTCAAAGAAACTCTTAGGTCGACTGTGCGAGCAGAACCAAATACTGAAGGACCACGAGGGTCTCGTCCACCGCCTGAGAATGGACAAGGTGCATTTTTATACTGTTGAACAATGAATCCTATAATATATAATATTAAAACGTAAAAATAATCGGAGCGGCTAGTTCATAATCAGAAATAAACTCACTCGTCTCCCCCTCAGGACAGCCTAGAAGAAGCGCTGGTGTCCACCCACCAGGACATGGAGCTCTACCATAATAAACCCGTGGCCATGGAGAAACTGCAGATGAAAAAGGAAACGCTGCAGAACCAGCTCATCAACATCCGAGGAGAGCTGTCACAAGCCTCCAGTGTAAGACTCGCACTCAGCATTTTCAGCCTGCTTGCCCTTCAATGCCCCTGTGCCGTGAATGTGTGGTAAGAATCGAGAGGAAAGTCTGAGTTTTTGTGTTTGTTATCATCTCTCAGGGCTTAACCACAGCTCGCATGGAGTTTGAAGCTCTGGAGGACGAAGCCCACGCCATCCATGGAGACCTGTGGGAGCAGCTCAATGCTGGAGGACAGGTGAGGAGTGGTCTTCTCTGTAGATATAATGGCGTAGGTGTATATTGCAGACAACACTTTTTTTTTTTAATCCACCAAGCAGTAACAATAGGAACTAAAGTTCTGTTTATACTGATGTACTTCACATTAACCTTTAACCTGCTAACCTTTTAGCAACATTCTTATTGATAATAGAAAAGTCGCCAAACTGTATGTTTGTCACAATTGCACAGCGAACACTTTAATTCATTAAAGTTCATAAGAAAATTTACGCGCCACTCAGCCCAAACAAAAGCGTTTACGTAGGAGTTCCATCAAAACCTTGGCCATTTTATGATAGCATTGCCATCTTTGGTTAGCAGAAGTGAGATTTTGTGTGGGAATAAGTGGGAGGGGCTCTGCGAAGTGCTGTTACTGCTGCTCCGAGCAGATTGAATAGGTGACAAGAAAAACGAGAGTGAGAATTATAAATAATGGTCTTTGCAATATTATTATCAGATATACATTTTACACAGCCTTCAACCAGTCCGTTTTGTTGCCAGTCTGTTGTTAAACATTTACAGCATTTTACGATATGCTGGCGTTACGTTTCATTTATTCATTCCATCCGTGCCCCCCCGTGCAATAGCACTGCAACACCTCCAGGGGGCGCTCCCCCACTTTTGGGAACCTCTGGTTTATGGTTTTCTGATTGTTGCTAACAAATGTAAACATAAAACACTTATCAAGCGTCTATTACTTGGTTCCGAACCCTCCAGAGTGAACTGGTTCGTCGGCACATCCAGAAAGAGTTCTGGAGAGTCCAGGATGTTTTAGAGGGACTGCACAAGAACAACTCATCCAGAGGAACAGACACAGCCAAGCACAGAGGTGAGGCCGTGCAGCTGCAGCTCCATATCCAAAGGCTTCAATTCCTCACCGACTCTAATCCTAATCCACCCTGTGTTTCTCATCAACAGTGACCAGCGGTCCATCAGGTTCCTTTAGCACCAATAGTCCTGCCAGTCCCTTGAGCTCAATAAGCCTCACCAGTCCACTCAGTCCTTTCTCCCCAGTGCCCGGCTCCCAGGCATCCCTTACCAAACCCCTGGGCCTGGAGGTAAGCACTGGACACACCCAGCTGGGGACCACCCCCTTTTTAAAACCTGGAAAAGGCCTGTGCTTAGACCCCAGAACCCAGCCCGAACATCTTAGAAAATCAAGTCCTAGACCTCGCCCTAAGTCGTGTACACTCCCTAATTCTAAATGTAACCCTAGGCTGGGGAGTAGACCCGGAAGTAATCAAGAGTCTGACACATGCCTTGAGGCAGGAAATAAAAAGTATTATGGTTGTAAAATCAGTGAACAAACCTCTCCTCAGCCCCCCCTAAACTCCCAAACCCACTGGGATTCCTGGGGTAGGTTAGACCCTGTGTTAGAGGAAATAGACCAGAACATAAACTGGAATTCTAACTTTGACCCAAATACAAGTACAGTCTCAGTCGGGGGAGCACAGCAGAACAGTTTAAAGCTACAGCAATTTCAGCTTCTTAACACAGTCCAGGGTCAATTTGATCTTTCTTTTGATCAAACCTCAAGCCATATATCCTTAGACACTTGCCCTCGGGGGGGTAAGGTTGGCCCAAGAAAAGACATATTACCTGACCCCCAACCACAACTTTCAGCAGAACTTCAGAGCAGTTTTGGAAACCCCTTATCAACCAGATGTTTTTCGGCCCCACAATCTCACATCCCACCTCTAGACCGCTCCTCTCAGTCTAACGATTTGTCAGACTGGTGTTACAGCCCAGACATTTGTTCACTCTGTAGCTTTGAAAGTGACGGTCCAAAAACACAGTACCATCGTCAGCCAGGCTCTCGGCCGCTCACTTATCCTAGCGCTCAAGATGAACTAGGCCACGATTGGTTGATGTCTGTAACAACACAGTCTGATCAGGACTCAGGGAAAGTCTTCATGCAAAGTAATCTCTGAAATCCTATCATCAGATTGTCTGAAGTTTATCAAGTTTACAGTCATCAACATTAATGCTGAATTTTTTGATAGAACCATTGACATGTGTGGTCAGTAAGTAGAACCTGGATAAATTTACTTTAACTGCTCCTCAGATTGTAAAAGACACTCATTATTCTCATTCACACATACAACTCAAATGCAGATTTAATCTGCTAAAAAATATAGTTTAGTTGAAGAAAAAATTACTTTGTGTATATTTAGATGAACGTTTAGTTGAAGAAAAAATTACTTTGTGTTTGGTTTAAGTGGTGAGCAGAAATCACTGCCACCTGCTGGCTGTTTAACAGAGACTGTCTATGAATATTTGAAATGAAATCCCTCTTCAGTCTGTCTGTTGCTTGTTTGGTACAAAATTCTCTTACGGAATCCAAAAATACATTCCGTGAGAATTTCTCCCGTGCTCTTTCTTCTTTTCTCTTTGCCTGGCTGATTCTTCCTCCTCTCCTTCCTCCTCCCTATCTCCAACCCTTACCTATGGTGTCTGTAGGAAAGTGTCCCCCCAAGACCTCCCCTTCCCAAAGCTTACTACCCTTTAGAGTCCTCCCCCGTCTCCCCTCCCTCTGTCCCTCCCCTGCCCTTTGACAGCACTGCCTGGCTGTGCAGCTTGGGCCTGGATGATGGTTACCTTGATGGTGAAGATGCTCACATCAGAAAGGTATCAACCCCTCTTTTGACATAGTCTGTGCCGTGACCTCAAAACACAAGTCAAGTCCATAGTAGTTACGGGGACACAAACCCAGGTTCCTTGTCGATCATCACCTTTTCTGGTCAACTTCCCCACAAATGAAAGACAGTTGGACTTTCATGTTTTTTAGAAGATATTTCACCTCCAGTCCAACCAGCTGCTTCAGTTCACTCAACAGAGGAGGCGACTGAAGACAGGGTCTTTAAGATGAGAGTTGGAATGTCTTATAGAAAACAAGAAGGTCCAGCTGTCCTCTACTGAACTACTCTGGATCAAATGACCTGGTTCACTGAGACATTCCAACATTTGCCTTTGTCTGAAGATGGGTCTAGAGCTCACCTTCTGTTCTCCTGTCCTGTTCCTCTGCCTGCCTATCACTTACTGCTCCTCAGCTTGAGTACTTGAAGTACACTTTGAAAAGTACATGACTTCATATTTCACACTTGTGTTTGATGTCTAAAGAAATGTTGTCATGTGTCATCTTGTGTTTGGAACATTAATATATAATATCTTAATTATATAACTATAATAATTATATATATACACTGTATATACTGTATATATTATTAAAACACATTGAAATAAATTTAATTTTTATTTTAATAGAACAATTTGTCACACAGTTTCAGGGAAGATGTGTCAGAAATAAGAACCACGTTTTGTTTGAAGCGACTGTTAGAAGATGATGATGAATCAGGCATTTAACACCATCTCCATAACATTTTACATTTTCTGCATTTTGTCTTAAATATGTCAAAGAGTCGTTGCCTTATTTTTATTATGCCTTTTTTAGCGCAAGTTTGCTGAACAAAACAGCGAGAAGCAGGACCAGGTCCAGGATAGACATTCCACCATGAATAAAGGTTTGACAGATCTCCGTTGTGTCACTTTCCACACCTTACATCTGCTGTATCTGGGTCGATCAGTTCCTTGAGCTAAATAAAAACAAGACTGACATTATTTCCATGAAAAACCTAACTGTGTTTTGCCACAGTCTAATGTCTTCCCTGTGTTCTCTGCCAGTTGGCATTGTTCCTCCTAGAACCAAGGCCCACACAGGTCAAGCACACAGCGGCCCAGCAGATGTTTCTAAGCATAATGGTAGAGTTCCCAATGGAATTTCCAGGGTAGGTGAACTTCTACCACACCTCCGAAGTATCTCAAACATTCTAAACACTTTATTTAATGATAATAATATTTAACTGCTATATCTGTGAAACAGGAGCGTCCAAAGAGTGCTGTGTTTACTGCAGAGGCCAAGTCAAAAATGAGTGTCCAGGAGCAGAACGAACGACTCCGCCGAAACCAGAGCAGCTCCATGAGGGAGAAGAGGCGGAGTCTGAACCTGTCAGGAGGCCAGTCTCCAGCCAACTACAAAGTGGTACGATCACAACGAACTGCTCACCCCAATCTCAAAAGTAGCATCAACATAAAGCTACAGTAGGACAACGATATCATTTCTAAATGTTGTTATAATCTCACACTTTATTCGCAAATAAAATCTATGCAAAAAGACTTTAGACTTTTAAACTTCCCTTGCAATTTGTAGAAGATTAGTCCATCCATCGACCTATTTTCATCTGTTACCGGGTCACGGGGGCAGCAGTCTCCATGACCGCCACCCAAATCACACTGCACCATACCAACCCCCCTGAACCTTCCTGTGGTTGGTGAGTCCACTGGAAGGTTATTATTAGTATTACTTATTAAAGACTAATTACACACAGTACAGTTATACTGTAGTGTAGTAGTATAGTATATTTTGATTATCAATCCGACAGAATATATGTACATTAAATATATCCATTAAATAAATGACAAAAAAAAAATGACCAGCACAAGCTCTCCTCTGTCGCCCCCGTCTGGCAGCAAGTGTCAGTTAAAGCTTGTTGCCTTCTACAGTTGAGTTAAAAGTTCTGGTCAAAGTAAAAATGAAAGTATGAAGTGATCTGTAAATGCAGTCATCATTGTGATCAGGTGGACAGATTATGTTTTTGTTAATGTGCGTGTTTTTACTTGTATGTTCTTTTGTTTTTTATCCGTGATTCTTTGCGTCAGGTTCGCCGGCGGCTAACAGCTCATGAAATTGACATCAAGGATCTGGAGGCAGCCGTCCGGGAACAGGGACAAGAGTCACCACGAGAGGAGATCGCTCGACTGAGACGGCTGCAAATTGAGCCGGAACATTATCAGCTGGAGAACAAACTGGTGAGAACAGTTCCTTCATTCATTATCTTCAAATTTGGATTGTAAAACAACAAAATAATAATAATAATAATAATAATAATAATAATAATAATAAGACTAATAATAATACAGTGCCCCCCTAGATACGAGTCCCCCCTAATTTCCTCCTAAAAACCAATGAATTCGTTCCAGCCCCCTAATATACTATTAATCCCCCATCTAAAAATCAAAAACATAGATATAAGCAAATATATTGCTAATATAAAATAATAATAATTAAGAAAACATTTTATATTATTGTTATAAAAATGGGAAAAATGAACAAGCGAGGGACAGTGACCGAGACAGCGCAAGTGTTGGGGCCACTAAGCGTAGGAGAAGGATTATATATTTTTATATATATATATATATATTTAACTTTTTTTTTTTCATCTTCGCCACTCATCACTGCTACATCATCAACATCACTACTGTGATTTTGTAACATGGAATACTCGTATTCCAGGAAGCTTGTATCTAGGGGGTCCACTGTAATAATAATAATAATAATAATAAATGTGGCGCTTTGGCCCAGAGGCAATGTCTCTGTCATTGGTGTGGCACCGGTTAGGGCGGTTGGTACCTTCCAGTGGACTCACCACCCGCAGGAAGGTTCAGGGGGGTTGGAACGGTGCAGTGTGATTTGGGTGGCGGTCTTGGACCCCGCGACCCGGTAACGGATAAGCGGATGAAAATGGAAGGATGGATGGAATAATAATAATCCTTGATTGGTTTCTATGCCTTCTACCCTGGTCTAGTTCATGGCTCCTGACAAGATTCTGATCCCAGAACGCAACCTGGACTTAGAGGACGACTCCCCCTTGAGTCCTGAGGAGCAGATGGAGAAGCAGAAAAAACTGGAGCGGATCAAGACCCTGATTGCCAAATCAAAGTAGGTTTTGAAAAAAAGAAAATGCACACAGGGCCTATGGATCCAGAGTCAAGTTTTTACTCAGAAATATCTTCTCCATACACATCTCTCAGTCTGCAGAACATGGTTCCTCTCCTGGATGGACCGACGGAGGGTGGAGCTCCTGCCAGCTCCCAGCAGCAGCTGCAGGAGCAGGAGAAGCTGATCGAGATCTCCTGCACACTGGCTACAGAGGCGTCTCGACGCAGCCGCATTCTCTCTGGTGAGGGCTCTGTCCGCACCACTGCCCCGAGCTGAGAGGGCACATTTATCACACTCTAGGTCAACTGTGTGTGTCTGTCTAGCGTATACTGTATGTAGTCCTCTGCAATAGTTTAAGGCAGGACTCTTCTAAGTATAAACAGCAAATGTAGGTTAAAAAAAACAACAACAACAGCAGCAGCATCTGTGGGCAGGTCAGGGTCGTACAGTCCCTACTGTTGGTCTACCTCACTGTCTTCCCCCCCAGTGATTGGCTCTCTCCATTTTTTGTTTTTACATCCCCTCCCCGCCTCCCTTCTGTTCACTTCTCCCTCCCTTACTCCTCCCCACCCGCTCACTTCTCCCTCCCTTACTCCTCCCCACTCCTCTTTTTCCACCTTTTCCCCCCTGCACAACCTTCTAGCTCAGTGTGTCCCTAGCTCCCCTACGTCCCCGACCAGACAGGCTACTCCCCCTTCCTCTGCTGACTTCCCCAGCTCTGCCCACACCATGAAGGTGTGAGCTTGACCAGGTGAGTGTGTGTTCACACCTCGAAACCCAGTCCCAGTCTCTGTCTTTTAGTTTGTTTGTTTTTTTCTTTAGCTACTGTGTTTAATTTATTTTACATTTTATTCTTTTATTTTCTGCACAGTCTCGGACTTTGTATTGTTAATGTCTTTTTATTGTTAGGTTAAGGAAAAATGAGGTGATCGCCAAATAATTAAAGCTTTATGTGATTCCGCAATACATGAAGAGTACAAAGGTAGTGTTCTGCTATTTTTTTATTTATTTTTTAATAATCCATCTCACTCGCTTTTCTACCCTCTGCAGCTCAAGCTATGGCTGCTGTCGAGTTTGACGGAGCATCTTTTTGAGGATGACTGTACAATTGAAAAAAAAAAAAAATGGAGATTATTTTTTAAAGGACTAACGCTGATTTGAAAAGGCATGGACATCTTTCAAATAAAAAGTGAACATTATGGTTGACGCTGTAAAGACTCTAAAGTCCAACTTTTCAAACATCCGATTCAAGCCTCCAGTTTTTTGGGTTTTTTTTTGTCCTGTGACACAAGGAAAGACTGTGATCCCTTAACCACTACAGCACTAGTTGTGTAACATTTCTACATTATTTGCTCAGGACATGATCGACAAAGCAGAGATGTTATTGATGAAATTGTGGTTTTAGCTTCTGGAGGCAAAGGCAAGTGAATAAAAGAATAGAAAGTTGACTCTTCTGTAAAGAACGGCCCGAGTGTTAAACCTCTCGAGATGAATCTGTGTCACTGAGGTCAACGAAACAAACAAGGACGGACACCAGGCCCAACCAACAAGGACACAGTGGACATACTGTATGTCTGGACTCTTGATGCCAACAGACAAGGTATCTAAAAGAAATTCTTCAGTTCCACCAGTGGAGCGAAACAGATTTCGATTATTCTTTGTGTAGGACAAAGAGTGTACTGGTGTACTCACTGTGATGCCTATAGAACCTACAGTATTTTTCCGACATAAACACATCACCGAATCATCACTTCATTACACCATGACATCGTCATATTAACCACAAATGTCACCATTACTATTACAGACATTATTTGGACCCCAAAACAATGTGACGTCATCACTGACATCTTACATCAATCACAAAAGTAAACAGGTCATTTAGCTTAGATATGTTTACATGGACCGGAGAATGGGAATGAAAGCGGAGATGAAAAGAGCAAAAGTAACCCTTCATCATCTTCTTCTTCCCCACTGACATCATCACGTGAAGTTGTTCTCTCCTACACATCACATCTGAAACATCTGTATTGTCAACATGTCAGAGGAACTGACGGCCATCTCCAGGCTGAACATTGATCTCATGCTACCAAGGCTAATGTTCCATGAATTGCCATCCATCTAACACTTCTGCTAACAGCGTCACATCCCAGTCTGACTGGTTTTCTAAAGTTCAATCATCTACCTCTCTGACATTAGCGGTCCTATTTGAGATTACCTTTACACCGCAGATTCAGGTTCACTCGAGATAAGCCCGGGTTACAACCACACACAGCTTTAAACATTTAGTTCAAATCTAAAGATAAGCTTGCAGAACAGCATTGGCCGTGAGTCATCACAGACCTGCTGTGGACTCCACTGTCTACTGTGGACTCCACTGTCTACTGTGGACTCCACTGTCTACTGTGGACTATACTGTCTACTGTGGACTATACTGTTTACTGTGGACTCCACTGTCTACTGTGGACTCTACTGTCTTCTGTGGACTCTACTGTCTACTGTGGACTCTACTGTCTACTGTGGACTCTACTGTCTACTCTGGGATGTGGACTCCACTGTCTTCAGTGAGATGCCAGTAGCATTGTTCATAGATGATTTTCTTCTGATGAATTATCCAACAAACAAACCAAACACTCCAGGCAGAAAGCTTAGAGTTTTGAACCAGCGCACAAAGAGTAAATAATAAGAATTCTATCATAAAGAAAACCACCAGCAGTTTCAGGACAACAGAAGATGATTTTATTTGGATCTCACATCACACACACACCTATAGAATATATGTAAATAAGTTCAACAGCGTCTAGTCAGATCTAATTGCAGTTGCAGTTGCAGTTAAATATTCAAGTTCATTTATCAGTGAGACTGGACCTGTTCACTCTCTACACAGGTTTATTTGACTCTGAGCACTTTCATATCTACCGCCGGTGACCAAAACCCAGAAAACTCCGACCTCCACAAAGTCCCCACGGCTACAACCTCATACTGTAGTTCTGCACTGCTTTAAGGCTAACATTAGCACAGAGCATGATGTGGTGTTCCAGACAGTTGTTCATGAATGTAATGTATCCTGACGCCCATTGTCTCACTGCCATCTACTATCTATTTAAAATGTTCAACAGATTACTCTAGTGATGGTCCACATGTGTATGGGTGAAGTATGTTGGATATATGTGTATGGAAATGGTGTACAGTATGTGAAAGGGGAAAAATAAGTGACCTTTAACAGGAATCTCTGCTTAAAAAGCTGGTTTGTGTAAAGTATTTGTTAGGAGAAGATCTGTGTACTGGGGAGTACTTTCATGTAGCATACAGTATCAACACTAGCATTTCATCCAATCATACTGTGCCAAAAGTCTAAAATATGTGTTTACTGTGTTGTGATTATTGACCCAAAAACTCAAAAAGACATTGGAGTTTAAATTTGGAGGATTTTTCTTTTAATTGAAGACATTATGTAAATATGTAAAAAAAACAAAAAAAACATTTGATTCAAACATTTATTTTAAATAAATTAAAATTTGAATGCTTTCAAATATCATTATTCAACACTAATAATTATTTTATTTGTGGTATTTAACATGCTACTCTGTCAAGTTCAGTTTATTTTTATCTAAGTCATAAACCAATCACAGATGATAAATTTAACAACACTGTCATTCCTCCTCATTTAAACTCTGTGCCCCCCGCTCCCTCACACACGTCCTTCATGATGTAATGAACACTTACACACTCATTATTGTTAAACTGACCTGCCTTTATATAAAACTACAGTTTGTCCATTTTAACATCCAGACGTGCGTCTGTTCGTTACAGAGAATTTTAAAAAACTGTTTTTTGTGTTTGTTTTTTTAATTCTGAACGCAGACATGAAGCAAAAACAAGTTGTAGAAAATGTGTCTATTTTTCTTTGGTTCAGGTTTTTGTAAGAAAGGGAGGCGGTTCATATTTTTTTAGGTGCAAGAATATTCAGCAAGATTTTGTCGCGTTCGATTTTTACACTCAATTACCCAAAGTTTAGCATTTTTCACAACCAAGACTTTACTTCTGTTTTGTAGCTCTTTGAAGAGGCAGAATAAAGATATTTTTGGATTAATTGGAATCTGATTTGTTTAGAATCGACAGCCAAAAGGTGAAGTTCAATATTTGATACTAGATGTAGCTTTTGTGGATGTTGGAAATACATAATATATACAATGTATATATTGGCCAGTGTATATAATATTTTGGATTTAAGTTACAGTATACCCTGTTATGTGTAATCTCTGTTTTATGTTTTGGGTACAGATAGATTAAATTGCTTGAACTATGCAAATTATTTACAAAAAGGTTACATATATTAGGCTTGCTTTCAGAAACCCTTGCAATAAAGTGAATGTAAACAAATGTTGTGTTTCTCTAGAATTCATCCCAGTGTTCTGGCTGAGAAAACACGTCTTACTGTCTGGACTCATCGTACAATCCCTGATGTTATATACAGTATATGTGGTGATAATTACATACACTGCCAAAATGCCTGAGGTTAATTGTCTACCCCCACCCCCTTTATTTTTTGATAGACTTTGCTCCTGACATTCTTCACTTGTTTATCTGGATGTCCAAAAGAATAAAGTCCACAAACACTGACTGGCTTAGTTCTTCCATGTTGGGGAGGGCAGGAGTTGTATACGTTAGACCTCAGGACTATGGACTGAAGTCCAAAGTGGCCATCACAGAAGGCCAGATATCCATAAGACTACAAAGACCCACAACAGGAACACAGGAACATTGCCTACCGTAATTTCCAGACTACTGAGCGCACCTGAATATAATCCGAATCCACTTGATTTAAAAAGAAAGAAATGATTGTACATATATAAGCTGCATGTTTCTATACGCCGCAGGTGTCCACGCTGTAACATAGGATATTTACACAGTGTCTGTAAGACGGCTAGTTACACGTTAGTTATTTCCTGCTTCGGAGCCCCGACCGTAGTTGGAATGCACAGGGAAGACTTAGTGATATGCTCCAGGGCCAAAGCTAACATCAGCTCCGGGGCTAACTCCCTTCACTTTGTGCTTGTCCACAGCAGAGGTAAACAGAAACAGTGAAGTTGGGGTCTTTATTATCAGCCACGCCGACCACAACAGAACAAAAACAGTGTTTTAACAGCTCCTGTATAACCAACTCACACTTCGACGTGACAGGGCTCCACCCATATATACTCACACAGCCATTCGCAGACAGACATATGCAACTAGAATAACACACAGTCAAAGTCATTGGTCGCTAGCCGTATGAACTTCGTTAGCTCGAACAAATCCATAAATCTGGCCATTTCAAGGCATGGTTTTATAAAACAACAACATTGAAACAACCACAATAAAACATCATGTTCATGAAAAACAATAAATGAATTTGTTTTCAGTGAAGAATTTTTAACTAACTTGTATCATGACATGCATAAAAAACATTCGTTAAAAAAACACCAGCATACGTTTTTTCCACTCACTATACAGGTCCGCTTAGCGGTAGCCACTTAGCATACACTTCAAATCTCACAGCACTTAACATCAACCCTCTCTTGATAACCGGTTACATTAGCTCACATTTACTTACTTAAACGTTTAACTTACCTTTGAGGCAGTGCTCTAGAGGCCAAAATGTGTTTAAAAAATAAACATTTAATTTATATGTCGTGAATGAAATCCCAACGAACGGGGAACACACTCACCCGCTGCACTATGGAGAGCGGAAAGTCGGCCATGTTTTATTAGTAGTTAATACTAGTTAAGCGTGAAATCAGATCCTACCCTTAGTTTGACTCCATCTAGTTTGAAATCCAGTTGGGAAAAAGCTTTGAGTCTTGAAATAGTATCTTCCCTCTGCGCAGACGACGATGCAGCGACATGTATCTGTTACCCACTGTGCTATAGGGTTCAGCACTGTCAGTCATGAACCTCACCGCACGTCACTGCCCCCTATCGGTGCGGCACGGTACTTTCTGTCTCACCCTGTACATTTTCTTTTCTCATTCATGGACAATCAGAAAAACTAAATATGTCACACACCTTCATCAAATATATTAGACAGACTGACACTACCACTGCTGTAATGCTTCAATGAAAACACACCTCCAGTCACTAGGTGGCAGCAACTCATACAGTGGTTTGTACAAACAAATATACCTTTTATCAGGTTCTCAGTTCATGAGGGTGTGGGTCACGGGGGAGGAGGGTGTGAGGGAGGTTTTCTTCCCAAGGTGGGTAGAAAATAATTCAGAACCACTGACTTAAAGGAACCTACGACTATTGGCAAACAAAACTCCAGCATCAAAAGAATTATTCGGTCATATCCTAATGATAGTGAGTTATTCCACAGCCTGACCATATATTTGGTCTATGTTTTGTATATTTTAAATAGAATCAACTGTTTCCATGAGCCCAAACAGATCATATCCTAATGATAGTGAGTTATTCTGCAGCCTGGCCATATATTTGGTCTATGTTTTATATATTTTAAATATAATCAACTGTTTCCATGAGCCCAAACAGACAGGGACAAAATATTGATCTGACTCATTGTGTTTAAATGCAGAGCCTGATTCTGTGTCTGCTCTGGTTAATGATCATCTCAGATGTTGACAACGTCAACGTATAAAGGTCGCAGTGGAGAAAAGAATGACATTTGTTTGTCCTGTCACACCAAAATAAGACCAGGGGAGACGTAGGAAGTCACTATGGCTGTCGTGACGGAATTCCAGAGTAAGTCTTTGTACGATTCGTCTTCGCACATGATGGGCTATGAAAATAACACAGGGAGATGGTTTTGAATTGGCTTGAGGACCGTTTGGACTCATGTAAGTGTTGATGTTGTCTGTGCTGCTAAATGCTGCAGAGGTGTCTACTGTCAGTGTGGGCTAAAACACTGCTTCATTCATTATAGTTTTGGTTTTGTTTTTGCCAAACGTACAAGAACTCAACTTCAAAATAAATTCATTCAGTATATCAGTCAAAAGCTGATTGTGTATCAAATGAAATACGTTTTAATTCCCGCGTTCTTACTGACTGTTGATTTTTCCTCTCTCAGAGATTGGAGTTGGTCTGATGGGATTTGGTTTATTTTTCCTGCTCTTTGGTGTGCTGCTGTACTTTGACTCTGTCTTGTTGGCGTTCGGAAATGTGAGTAAAATTCGATATTTTACAGCACAGTATGGATTTTTTTTATATATATATATATATATATATATATATCTTTAAATTAACAAGATACATGATAATATTCATGCCGTTGGTTCATTTTTTCCTCTAGTGATTACAAATGTAGATCCAATCAGTTGTAGTAGCCTGATGTAGAGCATGTAACAGCATTGTTGATACATTATTGCATTGTTGCCCGTGTATCAGATTCAGATCAGATTCCTGCCAATACACACCACTAGTTATAAACACTTAATGTACAGTATGCTTATATTTCCATATTTAACTTTTATCCACAAAAAAATTAACAGCAAAAATGACAGAAACAAATAAAAATGGTATGAATAAGTAAAAAAAAAACAAACCACTAAATTTGCTGTGTCGGCTCGTTTCCAAGGACCTTTTCAGTTTACAGTGTTCTATTGCTGTTCTCCTTTCGCTCGCTCAGTAAATTGTGGATTATTTTAAAATACAATCTCACAAGATTTTTGCTATATAGCGAAAAATAAACTAATAGACATTATAAAATCACTAGTTTACCATTGGCTAATGCAATGCGTACTCTGCGTGTTATTGGCTAATTCAGCATGCTTTTCTGTTCCTCACGCTGATTGGCTCATGCATCGTAGCATCTCTCAGCATCTCCATCCGAGTCTGTCGGCCACTCTCTCGATCACTTCTCCCTGCGTCGCCATCATACAACTCTACTAAATGTCCTGGTTGTGTCTTCAAACCTCAGCTGTTTTACAACCACGGTTGTTCTCTGTGACTCCCTCTACGTCTCAGATCCTCTTCCTGAGTGGGTTGACCTTCATCATCGGTTTAAGGAGGACAGCTCACTTCTTTTTTCAAAGACACAAGTTCCGAGGTTCCTTCTTCTTCCTGGGAGGGGTCTCTCTGGTGCTGTGTCGTTGGCCCATCATTGGGATGCTGGTGGAGAGTTACGGCTTCGTTCTGCTGTTCAGGTGATGTAGAGAAGACACTGTCGGAAACCCAGGACTTTGTAGGTTACAAAGTAAAACAAACGTTTTTTGTTATCGCCCACAGGTCCTTTTTCCCTATGGCCGTGGGATTCGTCTTGTCAGCTCTAAACATCCCCTACCTCAGCACAGTGAGTTTGAAATTTACATCCATGTGTGTATTATTGAAGAAGACGATATCACAGGCCGCAGTGAGAACCAGACCAACGTTTTTTCTCTATTTTGTTTTTTCCTCAGTATTTCTCCAGCAGCTCCTCCATGGTCTGAGCAGAAGAAGGTCATCAGCGAAGAACAACAAATATTTATTTGGTTGAAAACCCTAAAGAATAAGTTATTTTTTACAATGCCCTGTATTTTCTACAGCTTTAAATCACAACAACAACAAAACAATGGAATGAAAATGGTCTTGACAGATTAAACATCAGCTGATCCCAGATCTGTTCTCTGTGACGTCAGTCAGCATGTAAAACTATTTGGTTTTTTTTTCCCAAAATATGGTGTTCCCTCTCTATATCACGGTTCTCCTTTTGCTCCCGCAGTACCGCAGTATTTCACGATAAATTTATATATTTTTAAATGTCGCGAGAGTTTATCTTTATAGATCTATACCGAGGTATTTCACGATAAATTTATATATTTTTTAATTTCCATTGTTTTCGTGATAAAAAACATTTTCTTACCTAAAAAAAGAAAAACTCGTGCGCACGAGAAAACATATCTAAGACATTTTGCCACACATACATACAGGGTGATAGATTAAAAAAAAAAAAACAATCATGGTACTGTACATGACTGTTTTGTTTTTTTTTAATGTACGGTTGGGAACTCTAAGATACCGACATGTCATGCCGTACTGTACTGCATATATGGGGAACATTTAATTAATGTAGGGTACCTCATTTAGACACAGGAGGGCACTGTTGTTGTTGTTATTCTACTGTTGACAACAGTGTAGGGAGGTTCGTGAAGGGTACTGTAAATACGTAAATCCTCCTGATCCTTCTGAGAGTACGCATTACATTAATTTTAATTGTATTCATAGAGCGCAGCTCATGCACAAAGCAAACCCAGTGTGCTTCACAGACATCGCGTAATTACGTGAAACTTATCACGAAATACACTGGTGCCCTCTCCTATCGCAGTCGTTGCGATAGGAGGGCACAACAACACTGCCCTCCTGTGTCTAACTGAGGTACCTACATTAATTAAAAGCTCACCATATATACCAGGCATGGGCAATCTAAGGCCCGGGGGCCGGATGCGGCCCGTTCAGCTTTGTAATTCGGCCCGCCAAACTTGTCCAAATTATATAATTGGTTTGTATTGTGATTATACTTCTGCCTTTTCCCTGCAATGCCCACATTTTCCCTATAGATGGCGTAGAGAAGGCTAAAAGCCTTTTAGCATTTATGCATGACTTTTATGTCATTTGTATTAGTTCACACGAACGCTCCATCTATCTGCTTCTGACCCGGCCCCCCTGTCAAATTTTAGGACCAATTGTGGCCCGCGAATCATAAGGTTTGCCGACGCCTGATATATACAGTACATATGTCACCCATGCCGGTATCTTAGATTTCCCAACCGTACGTACTGTACATGATTGTTTTGTTATTTTAATGTGTTACCCTGAATGTATGTGTGGTAAAATGTCTTAGATACACTTTATCGTGAGCACAAGATATTTTTTTCCCATGTCCCTTTAGGGGCTCCGTAGGAATTAAAGGGGTCAACAACTATATATATATAAAAAAATGACAACAGAAACAGAAAGGAAAAAAAGTCACAAACTGGTTCTCAGAAATCCTGCCTCACTGCTCTCCTCTCTAGGCTCCAAACATCACGTCTGAATATTAGGGTGAAAACGGTGATTGGTTCTTATCAGGTCACATGGTCCAATACTTCCACCTGTGGAGAGAAGACAACAATGCGTCCAGTACTTCCACCTGTGGAGAGAAGACAACAGACACCAGAGGAGACAGGTCAGCGTCACATCCAGGTCAAAGAGCAGCAGAGACCTGGGTCAAGATTTACTCTCACTGTTATCACTTCACTTTTGACTCTTACAGTCAGGACTGGAAACGGTTGGTTTGTATCTGCACCTTTTCACAACATGTTCACAAATATGTGTTAACATCAGCACAACGTTTAACTTTGAGGAAGAAAGTGATCAGAACAATACTGAGGAGTAGATGACACTTTATACTGACTTCAGATCCTCCAGTCTGTAGTTTGGACTCTTCACTAGACCACACAGAACCTTCACTGATGAATCATGCAGTTTGTTCCAGCTCAGGTCCAGTTTCCTCAGATGGGAGGGGTTGGACTTCAGAGCTGAGACCAGAGAAGAACAGCTGATCTCTGACAAACTGCAGTTCCTCAACCTGAATAAAAAAAGAAAAGACAAAGAGAAAATCTGATTTTCTTGAATTTAGTCGAATGTGTACTGTTTACTCCGGTTTTCAAGCAACGGCATTTTGTTGCCAGACTCACTGTTTTTTTTGTTTCTGTGCCAATGACAATAAAGAAAGTCTAAGTCTATTATACAGGATCATTCAGTGTTGAACGCAGCCTGTTATTTATCTGATTGACACAATATTTTTGAGAAGAAGTAGAAAAGAACCCTGACAGGAAACTAAATATCAGTGGCTGGATAGAACCGTTTAAAGAACTCAAGAACATTGATCCATAAAATCATCCAGCTGCAGAATGTAGTAAAGAGCCAGGTGAACAAGCTCCTCTAACAAACCCGGACATGGAGGACCACCTGCTTTTTATCAGCAGTGTCTTTACATCACCAAGTCACAGGATGTCACAAACAGTTCCAGTGTGTCTGAAGAGAAGATGAAAAAAAACATCTACAAACCTGAAGGCTGTGAGAGTCCAGCCTGAGGTGTGGAGCTGATGTTTGCCCTGCATCTTTCTTCTTGGTCCACTGAGCTCTCCTGCCCGCCCACTCTTCTAAGAAACACATTTACATCGATTATTTTCAGGACAATAACCTTGTCTCCTCTAGTTTGTCTCCAGGGGACGCCAGGAGATGGAAAGTCTGGACAAAAATGTCTTACTGTGTGTCTGTAGGTTCAGGACTGAGGTCATGTACAATGAACAGGAAGACAGTGTTATACAGGTGGAAACGCTCCGTGGGAAATGGACTGATGTGCAGTGTCTGTTTGAGTTCAACCCAATCCACAGTGAGGAAAGCATGTGTCTGCTGTGGTCATCAAAACTGGACTAGGAGACAGTCTGGACCAAAGTGTCTTACCGTGTGTCTGTAGGGCCTGGTTCAGGACTGAAGTCTGGAGGGTTAGTCATGAACCAGTCAGTCTTCACAGACAGACAGCTGGGTCCTGGAGACTCTGCTCTGTCTTCTTTCTTCACAGAAACTCTCATCTTCTGAATAAATAAAAATAAAAAAGTTAGTCTTTATAATCTTTGTGCTTTCATTTTTTTTTAATCAGGATGACGTCACATTAACGTCTGACCGACAGTTCATTTCCACGATCGAGATTAAAACACGGAGACAGACTGACAGCCGAATGATCATGGTATAAAACATCAACATACACTTTTTATACTTTGATGGTGACACGATGGTCTGCTCTGTCATGTTGGATCAGAATTCACTGAAAACTCACCTCTGTCCTGCCTTCACTCTGCGCTAATTTTTTACAAACCCACACAGAGTACTAAAAAATGTCTTACTGTGTGTCTGTAGGTTCAGGACTGAGGTCATGTACAATGAACAGGAAGACAGTGTTATACAGGTGGAAACGCTCCGTGGGAAATGGACTGATGTGCAGTGTCTGTTTGAGTTCAACCCAATCCACAGTGAGGAAAGCATGTGTCTGCTGTGGTCATCAAAACTGGACTAGGAGACAGTCTGGACCAAAGTGTCTTACCGTGTGTCTGTAGGGCCTGGTTCAGGACTGAAGTCTGGAGGGTTAGTCATGAACCAGTCAGTCTTCACAGACAGACAGCTGGGTCCTGGAGACTCTGCTCTGTCTTCTTTCTTCACAGAAACTCTCATCTTCTGAATAAATAAAAATAAAAAAGTTAGTCTTTATAATCTTTGTGCTTTCATTTTTTTTTAATCAGGATGACGTCACATTAACGTATGAATAACCCCGCGACTCTCTGTGATTCGTCACATAGTTATGAACATTCAACAATGAGTTACAGCGAGATAACTACCCGTTGATAAAAGAGTTGGGGGGGGGCTCTGCTTGATGACATTTCATTATTATACATTTCATAATACTAACAACAATGACAATTTATTAAATAATTTTAATAACAATTAAATAACAATTATTATTATTATTGTTGTTGTTATAATATAATTTTTTACAAACCCACACAGAGTACTATACTGATTTACTTTAGGTTTGGTTTCAATAAATGTACAATGAACAGGAAGACAGTGTTATACAGGTGGAAACGCTCCGTGGGAAATGGACTGATGTGCAGTGTCTGTTTGAGTTCAACCCAATCCACAGTGAGGAAAGCATGTGTCTGCTGTGGTCATCAAAACTGGACTAGGAGACAGTCTGGACCAAAGTGTCTTACCGTGTGTCTGTAGGGCCTGGTTCAGGACTGAAGTCTGGAGGGTTAGTCATGGACCAGTCAGTCTTCACAGACAGACAGCTGGGTCCTGGAGACTCTGCTCTGTCTTCTTTCTTCACAGAAACTCTCATCTTCTGAATAAATAAAAATAAAAAAGTTAGTCTTTATAATCTTTATGCTTTCTTTTTTTTTTAATCAGGATGACGTCACATTAACGTCTGACCGACAGTTCATTTCCACGATCGAGATTAAAACACGGAGACAGACTGACAGCCGAATGATCATGGTATAAAACATCAACATACACTTTTTATACTTTGATGGTGACACGATGGTCTGCTCTGTCATGTTGGATCAGAATTCACTGAAAACTCACCTCTGTCCTGCCTTCACTCTGCGCTGTCAAAATGGAGTCCAAAAAAAAACCAGATTCGAAAAACTTTCGACTCTTCATGGTCGGAGAAGACGAGAGTCAGTGAGAGAGAGTATTTTTTTTAAATTGCACTTTAATCTTACTTTGGTTAAAACCATTAATTTTAATTTATATCCTACTTATGTTTTCTTCTTAACGTTTTCTTATATTTTTTCTAACTTTTTCTTCAAACCGCATCTATTATTATTACAATACATATAGCAGATGCTTTTATCTAGAGCGACCATCCAAATGAATAAGGATTACTTCCGCTATCATCTTGGCTCCGCCGTCTACTTTTTTCTTGTTAACACATTATATTGTGACACTTGGGGAATAAATAGTTATGCTATGTTATAATGTTCTGCTTCTCATACGGTTCTTGGGTGCCATGAATGCGCCATATAGGAGCGCACATGCGCAGTATGTTCTGTTCCGTGTCGGTGGAGCCAATCGGCTCATAGAAGTGTGTGAGAGAGCTGGTCACGTTCTGTTCCTATGGAGCGAGAACAGCCTCCAAAATAATTACACAA